GCTTAAGGCCTTATGCCACATCTAAGTTACGCTTAATAAATCACTATTTCGATGAACCGCGTGACTCAGAATGGCAATTTACTAATTCTAGATTTTATCTGGCACATGCCAAAACATATGGTGATTTTTCCAAATATACCTACATTTTCCAAACTCAAGAAAGTCATAGAATTACTGTTGTAACATAGGGAAAGTTACTGAATAGAATTAACAAACGAAGGTTGGTAATGAACGATAATACTTAGGACAAGAACCATACATATAAGATTCGCCAGCGGCGCGTAGAAGTAGTCAACTGCTAGAAGTGAGAATTCTACATTGAATCTTCAACTGCAGGATATCTACCAACCGCCCAACACGGTAAGATGTGGCACAAGGTCGAATTTAATGTTGGGTATCCGAGACCGTAGGCTCGGCCAAAAATTCCCCGGATAAAAAAAGGGATCGGGTAGCCGTTTTTCAAGACGAAACTCTGCACTTCGATATAGCCTCGTCTGGGCGTCCTCTCTACCCAAATCAGGGAGTTTGACCAGCACAGTTGGAGACGAATCTCCAACTGCAGACCAACATACAGTATTTACTACTGTATTTTTAAGAATGAGGACATATCCATTATCGTCCTTAGGTATGCTACAACAATTACTAAGAGCAGAGACTGTCTAGCAAACCGGATGCCGGACTGTTACATTTGTCGCTGATACTCAAAGTTGAAAGATAATAAAATGTATAAACTCAATAAAGAGATATTATAAAGTGGCAAGAAAAACGACGAAAAGCAGAAATAACCAAAATATTCTACACGTACGCACACGCGCGCACACACACACACGCACACACACACAAAAGCGCGCGGTAAGGCGCATGCACACGTGCGTGCGCACCCACACACACAGTGAAAGAAGAGGAAGAAAAAATCAACCTTGCACCAATGAAAAATACATAAATTATTTTTAACTCAATATAAAAGTAACGAAAAGCGATTAAATAAACAGAAAATTGGTGGTATCTCCTGACGAGTGGACGGATGTGTGGAGTGTCTGTCTACGAAACTCTAGAGACGAAATACTGAAATGAGCTAAGTGAGAAATTTTATATTTGTATTAATACTATGTGTGTGTGTGTGTCTGTGTTAGTGTGCGCTTATAAGTGTGTGTGCGCGTATGTTTGTGTGTGTGTGTGTGTGCGTTGAAAGATTTTCAGCATGACTAAGAATTCCTTTCAAAACAATAAATTCTTGTTTGGTTACTTGGTCAAATTTTAGCAAGTAGATTGGACCTATAACAATAGTGTAGCTTAGATGTTTCCCCCAGCGAAGATCTAGCTCACTACTCAGTTGCAATTGATTTAGCCAGACATGTTTGCCAACCATTACATCACGTCAAATTGCCTAAAAAAATGATTTAATAATCATAGCTTAGATGTGACACATGGCCTAAAGTAGAGAGCACCCAACACCTTCCTGTATATAGCAAGAGAAACGCACGCAGATTCTAAAACACACACACACAGAGGTAAAAGCAAATTCAACGTGTTATATATATCTGATGATATTCATTAAACAAATTAGGCATTTCAGCTAAAAGCATCACTAGGATATTTTTATCTGTCTTCAATCAGTCACACCCACAATATTTTGGTTTGGGATGAGTGTGGGCTAGGAGTCGTGATTCAGGACTTCCCTCAATCAATCTGGCATGAAGAAAGTGTTCAAGATCTATATAAGAGGAATCGTTTAGCCAGCTAACCACACCACCTCGGTGAAAGGAGAGAGATCTATTTGACATGGTTTGCTTTCTCCATTATCAAAATCTAATAGCAGCCACCCGGTTTCGCTGTTGAAGCAAATAAATAAGACAAAATAATTACTTCAACTGTTCGATCAACTTTCGTTTTCTGCATTTAGACACGTCAACCATCGTGTGCTTGTCTAAGGCGAAATATTACAAAAGAAACATGGAGCAACAGAGATGTTATTCTACAGAAGGATGTTGAGGATACCATGCACCGACCATGTGAGCAACAACAAAATATCTGAGAAAATGGAAGCAAGGACTACGCTTATATTTAACACAGGGAAGAGACAGTTGAAATTTCTAGGGAACAGGATGAGGAAAGAGGGTTTGGAAAATGTGATACTCACAGGACAGATTGAAGGCAAGTGGGACAGAGAAAAACATAACATACCTAGCGAGCTTGAGTAAATGAATGGCGGAGTAAGGTTTAGGAAGGATAACAAAAAAGCCAAATTTTAATAAGAGCTACAAAGAACGGTAAATTGTGGAGAGCCAAAATCGCCAAAGTCCTAAAGGAACACGGCAGGTCGAAGAAGAAGATATGTATATAAAGTGATTGTTGTGGAAATGAAATCTCTCATGCATAAAATTATTGTTCCTTCAACTCATGAATTCGTCAGTTACCGTTACTCGCTGCAGCGGCTGTTTTTCATTTAATTCCATCGATTTGTTGATTGCTGTTCAAGCGCTATCAAAACCGTAGTATTCTTGACGTTGTAAGGATACAAAAGGCGATTGTCTCCTTTTCATTGTGATAGTCACGGAGGTCACGTGACAGGCCGGTGAGTGATATATTCACCTACCGTCCCACGCGGTCGGATGCGGCACAAGGCCGGTTTTATTGTGGGGTTTCCGAGCCCCGTAGGCTCGGCCAAAAATTCCCCGTAGACCCCGTAAAAACGGGGTCGTGTAGTTGTCTACCACCTCAGACGAGATTCTTCTCTTCGCTATAGCCTCGTCTGGGTTCCTCTCTGTCCGGAGGCAGAGTGTTTGACAAGCACACTTCCGAAGTAATTCGGTGAGTGACATTAGAGGATAAAGCGACGAAAGCCAGTTTCGATGTAGAACCCCAGAGAAGGACGTCCCGATCCCACTCGTGAAATATTTCAAGAAAGGTTCCCCTTTTTACACATTCTTTATTGTTGCATATATGTTATAATTTCTCTGCGTGGGGCACGTGTGAATATGTATTTTAAATCTATTTTTCTGTTGCTTGGTGGCATTCGGAATGTCGATACCTCACGTAAAAATGGGTTTATTTTGAGCTCCTTCTGTGAAAAAAAAAAGCACAAACGAAAAGAGAATGTGAATTTTGTTAGAACACGATGCTATTTTCAGAAGGAACGAGGTTTCATGACCGTGTATGGATGATATTTACACAATTCCATGTATTTCTGGCGAATCTACAAAAATATTTTGTATTAGGCACAGACTCATAACTTCTAAAAAAGAATGAATTACATCGGTTAAAAATTACGTATCAAAGTGTTCATTCAAATAAGATGTTTTTATTGAATACTTTTTTATTTCAATATTCACTGTCATCATGACAATACCGAGATTTGTTTGTTTTGTGTCCCAATAGTCCATTGTATATTGCATTCCGTTAGGAACTGTTATTTTCTAAGATACGAATATCCTATTTAACGAAAAAACTAACGTGAAGATACATTTCTTTTGTTGTGTACGTTACTCTCAGTAAAGTTTTTAAATAAAGTTGTTGTTTTTTAATGAATTAGTCGTGAAAACGAAGAATATGTTTTGTGCATGTCTTAGTGGTTTAAAAGTCTCTCTGAGAAGAAAACCTGATGTCATTCCACTTCGTTTCAACAATTCTGTTCCGTCCGTGAAATACGGTGTTATTATATCATAGATATAATAATACCCATAATGGGGAAATTTAAATTGAAGAATAAACCTTTCTTTCCATAGCTCTCTCCCATTATAGCGTCTTCACTTGGTGGTGTTTTGGATCTTCACGAACATCGCCTGTCTACGTCAGCAAGCTGGGAGTTACCTAGGTTGTTTTTAATCATTTCACCCCAAGCAAGCCAATAATGCCAGAAAGAAATAAGAGTATAATTTATTGAGGAGAAAGCACAATAAAATAACAGATTTTAGGGATACAGAAGATGGCGATTGAAGTTGCATTTAAATTTCTGGAATATTGTCGCTGACAGGAAAGCAAGAAACTGGAAGAGATTTCTACAGAGGAGATGTTCGATAAAATAAACTATTAGAATAGAACATACGGTTATATCTAGTTAGTGCAATAGTAAAATGGTAAGGCCTAGTAGAACGCTTAAATTCATGCAGTCTAGAAACCAAGGAATAAAGCATTTATGGGGATTTCGACTAGTGGTCGTTGTGATTCTGTGATGATTACAGGTATAAAACCCATGTAGCTGTGGTAAATTCCTTGCTGAAAACCAATTTAAAAATATAAAACAACAAACTGTATTGATATCTAACAATGGGTTTAACGATAAGAAAATGAAGTGTTTAAAAGTATTTAAGAAGTAAGGAATTCTTAATCTTTCTATGTATCCTGGTTGACTCCAAAAATCCCCAGTTATTGTAAGCGTGTGCCTTTTCTCCGAACATGGATTCTTCTTTTCGTGTAGATGTCTCAGAAACTTATATATCCATCTGTCATTAGCCGTCTCACGTGTGGAAGCCTCAAACGCATCTAGGCTGACCACCTATTTACGTGTCGGAGACAACCAATGACAACCTGTGAAGCACAGACAGGTAGATAGGCCGCGTTTTGGGTCATCTAACCGATCCACCTAGCTTCTCTGTGACAAAGAGCCCCAAATCACTTTTGCTATCCTCTGTAGTGAGCTACATACTATATGCATAATAAATAAATGTTCTAATGCATACCTCTGTGGACTAATCAATATCCTCTAAAAGTCTGGACCAATAAAGTTTTGGTGGAAATTATTTTATTGACTGATTTGTTTTTTTTTTACAGCTTAACCACATTTTGCAGGTTATTTAAAGCCAGAAAATATGTTCGGATTGTAAGAATTGTTTTGGAGATAATAGTCATTTACTGATACAAGTCCTACTAATTAACCCATAGCTGGGGGGAGAAGAGGTGGATTCATACCTTTCCCAAAGGTGTATACTCGGAAGTGAATATAACGAACCAAATTGGAATAGGAACTCCGTTTTCCAATTTAAACCGCTCACACATCTAAGCTTACAGCACCTGCTATTCCCATGCGGTCAGCCATCTAAGCACTGACCAGGCTTGACGTAGCTTAACTTCGGTGAGCAGACAAGAACCGGTGCTTCAATGTGGTATGGCCGTAAGTTGGTAAAGGTGATGACGAGTTTTTCTTTTTTTTTCAAATTCTACTCTGGAATGAAATTAAGCTTTAAATAACTGAATTTGCTTCCGGCGGCTCGACACAAACAGGAAAATAGTATTATATTGGAAGAGATAATCTTGTTTTAATAATATAATCCCATCTAACAAACTTTAAAAGTAATTCAATTAAAAATGTTCATCTTGTTGCATGATATGAAAACTTCACGTCCATATTGTTATTGTCGTGAACGAGGATACCTTTCATTTTGTAACAGGAGGTTATCTTTTTAAATTTAATTCCATGTTTATTAGATCACTTGCTTAAAAACGACATTCCTTGGGGAATTTTTAAGCCAGCTCCTGCAGAGGACTAACTCTGCCCCCTCGGTCCAAAACCATAGGGTCCAGCTTAGAATGATAATTTTGAAGAAATAAATTTGAGTTTATCAATTCACTCCATGGAAATTCAAAACCTCCCCTTAACTCTGATTGGGCTATAAGTCTAGTTCCGACCAAAAGACTGATTTGAGTCGAAATTGTAATTTCGGTCTAAAACTGAATTCTTCACATCACAAACTCTGTGGGACTGTAATTGAGTTGAATACTTTAAATCACAACCTCTGTTGAACTTCATGACCTCACGTCACCGAAATCTCTCACTTTAACTCTGATTCCTTGGTATTTTGAAGAAATAAAATTGATTTCTTGATTTCCTTAAAGTTTTGGAGATGTTTTACACTGAATTTAATACAATATTTTTTTTAAATTCACAAAGTTTTCATTTTATTCAATAAATTTTTAAAATCACTATTTTTTTTTCAGTTATTTTAAAATTTGAATTTTTAACTGTTTTCTCCTCATCCGGACACAAACCCGAATGCCGAATGTTCAAGTACTAGATTTCAATCTCGGGATCTTCCTGATTCCAAAAAAGTATATAATATGTATATGTAGAGCAATTGTGACAGACAGAATTTACCGTTTATTTAGATTTATAAACTTTTATAGAATTCATATTATTCCAGATAGGAATTTCCTAATGAAATGACTACATAAATCTAATGCCGATAGCAATTGTCTGTTTGCAACCTCGATATTTGCACTGGTTTCCTAGGGCCAATGATTTTTGATTTCCTAGGGCCAATGATCTTTGGTTTCCTAGGGCGACTGATTGTTGTTTTCCTAAGGTCACTGATCATTGGTTTCCTAGGGTCATTGCTCCTTTCCTCCGAAATCGATACTAACGGGCGCACCTTTGAACAATGTATATTCGTACTGAGGTTGAAGTGAAAATATAAATGTAACAAAGTTCTTGATAAACATAGTGTATACAAATTTTAGTGTCTGAAATGAAATTGTCATGCCGAGTTCAGCACCCGCTTGATTTCGGTTTCGTTCCCGTCGGCAAGAATCCATCTCTCTCCAGATATGGGTTAAATAGTAGGAGAGAGTGAACTCTCTTGCCTTGAAGTGGCAACCAGTTTAGGAGAAGGAAATGTCTGAATTCAAAACAAGCCGGAAAAGAATTAGGCTTCCTCAGGTTATTTTGCTCAATACACACCACGGTTTCTATGGCTGTATGTACGATGTTCATTCGTCCATAATGGCATATAGATTCTCGACGTAAAGAGTTTATGGATTCAGAAGCCTAATTATAAATTAATTATCAATTAATTTCTAAATTAATATATTGATTAATTAATATATGTATTCAAATTGTGGAAACACAACACACACTCATATATATTCAAACATATATTGTTAAATATAATATACAACGAATGTCTATTATGTTTGATCATGAGCCAATCTAAGCTTCCTATAGTGGCATTACATTTGGAAGAATATAAAGACAAAAACCGTCCAACATTTGGTTATTTTTTTATTATGCTCTTCCTCGATCAAAGCTTTCGGCTCACATGAGCCATCATCAGAGTGGCTATATGGACACACATATATATATATATATATATATATATATATATATATATATATATATATATATATATATATAGTGTGTATTGGGGCAGCAGACCATTATTTAAACATATATTATTAAATATAACAGACAATGAATGTCTATTATGTTTGATCATAAGCAGTTCTAAAATTCGTATGTTTGCTTTAATTTCTGGTGAAAATAAAGACAAAAATTGTCCAACATTTAGATTTTTCTGTTAAGTCGGTGCTAAAAACATTAGAACGACTCATGATCAGACATAATAGACATTTTTTGTCTGCTATATTTTATAATAATAATAATAATAATATATATATATATATATATATATATATATGTGTGTGTGTATATATATATATATATATATATATATATATATATATATATATGTATATATATGTATGTATATAAATAAAAAAAAAGAACAGTAAGATATATAATCCGGTGTTCTTATAGGTATTTTATTTTACAAAATCGTGCTCGATATAAATTTACAGAGCATTAATATTATAAATTAATTGATTTAAAATATGGTTTTTACCATATTTTTAAATTAATATATATATATATATATATATATATATATATATATATATATATATATATATATATATATATATATATAGTGGAGTCTGACGTCTTGTTTGAGTTGAGAATTTTTCAGCACATTTTCGTATATATATATATATATATATATATATATATATATATATATATATATATAAAATAAAGAACAACTAAGAAACATCTATCAATTTAACATATTTTACTTTCATTAAAACTTAATCTCGGATGTAGCATTTATAGACTATTTGTTAATAAATTAATTGTTCTTCATCTTATTTCTATTCAGATTTGTTCTATATTTGATCTCAAATCGTTTACGGGAGCATGTCAAAAGTTATCCGCACTTTCACCATAACATATCTGTGTTTGTTTATTTCGTTAATGACATATCAACTACTTATTGGTCATTTAATGCTGGAATTTTATTTTCTTGGCTGCATTGGTAATTCCTTTTAATAATCCTAATCTCAGTTCTACCAACACAAGATCGTTAGATAAATTATGCGTTGATTTTCTCTATCACTGTTGCCTACAATATATTATGTGAGTTTCAAATTAGCCAAAACCCTCTCTCCTTATCAATGACACTAGAAATTTCAACTTTTATGATTTTGAGTAAAATTGTCATTTTTGTTTCCATTTATCTCTAAAACTTAAAAAAAATGTTTCGATATTTTAATTTTTGTACTTGCTTGATGTTGATTTTAGAATTTTATTTTAAAAACGAAATGAATTGGCGGAAGTGGATTACCGCTTAACGTTAAGAGCCGTAGCTTTGTCGAGTACCGGGCTTTACTGAAAGTGGCATGGATAATAATATATATATATATTCTTCAGCGCAATGAAAAGAATTCATGAACAGTTATAACAGGAAAGAAAGTGACAGCTAGACAGAAAGAGAGACAGATATGATCATATTAAATAGATTCCTTTATTAACTTCTGTAGAGGTTTAATTGGGAATACATTTATGAAATTTTGAGAGTTTCTTATGTATTGTAATAACTACTCGGAGATTAAAAGGTAGCAAATTTCCTTGCCACTTTAATACTGTTTTTTATTATATTTAACGTTATATTATATTTCGTTATATTTAACATCATATTTTACTATATTTAACGTTATATATTTTATTATATTTAACATTATATTATATTTTATTATATTTAACGTTATATTATATTTTATTATATTTAACATTATATTATATTTTATTATATTTAACGTTGTATATTTTATTATATTTAACATTTTATTATATTTTATTATATTTAACATCTCTAACAGTAGAGTAATTCTTTTCATTTTTATTTGTACACTGTTTTAATGTAGACGTAATCCCAGATTCTTTTACAGAATGTATCAGAAAATTTGTATCAGAATGGTCTTTTGTCATTACAAACAATTAGGTTACTGTTCTTAAACAGGTGTGAGAAGACTATCATGTCTGCTAGAAGATTTCTCTTAACACCTGCAAATAGCATTGTGTAAAACAGTATAAATGGAACGTACTCAGAATCTCTCCTTTTTCTCTCTTCCACCACAGAATGTGGTAATGTCAAGGCGTCTCTTGTTTCACCTCAAGGCATACAATATGTACGGAAAACCATTAACATACTACGTTATCTTTTGTTTAAAAAAATAAATCTTGCAACCACAATAACATATCTACTATACCTAATCACATAAATGTACCGTATATTCCAGCTTACAAGACTCAATTTTCCTAAAAAGTACCCTGAAAAACATGTGTGCGTCTTCCAAGACGAATGTAAGGCAACGCTCAGGCTCAAGTAAGCTTATATGCTCACCTAATTGGCTTGACTTATGGGGACGTGGATTTGTATGTTGAGTCATTACACTATAATGTTAGCTATCTAATTCAGTCTTTTATATAACATAACCTCAGTACTTAGTTGTTACAAGCATTTCCAAACTATAAAACTTCCTGGAGGTGAGCCACAAGCTTAAACATGTTCTTTTTTACTAGCAGCGGGGGAAACCTTTCTGCTTTTGACTACTATGTCATTGCAATGCAAACAAAGTCGGACAAGTGATTAATGTAAACAATACGTGACACCAGTATACGAAGGACGTATGGTGAATGTGTTGTATGAGAATGACTTGTTTTTTTAGAAATTTCTTTCCAATATTATGGTATGTCTCCCAAGCCGCAGCGTCTTGTAAGCCGGAAAATACGATATATTTCTCTCCTTTTCTGACCAATACAACACTTAATTTTGTATATATATATATATATATATATATATATATATATATATATATATTATATATATAATATTAGTGGTCACACACACACACACACACACACACACACACACACACACACACACACACACACACACACATATATATATATATATATATATATATAAATATATCCAATGTCCAGGACAGAATAAGAATATAATATAAAAGTTTCAAACTCTAATATTCCATGGTTATAATTTATTAC